CCCCAAAACCCCAAAACCCCGATTGCAAAGATAATTGCTGAGATTAGTGAATAGATTTAATAAAAGAAGATAAATTAATATGTATGTATTTCTTGAGTTAAAGGAGAAATTAAACATTGGAACTATAATAATTCAAATGTTATTATATATAAGCTTCATATTTTTTGTCTCAATAAGAGGATAGAATTCAGCTTGTAATTTCTTCCATTTAAACGTTAAGGTCTTAATTAAGATGAGTTTTACTCAACTAGAACAAAGGAATACATCAGTAAAATTTTATCTATCATAATGAGTTTAGAGTGTAGTGAGGCAATTTAGGGCTGTAATGAGTGTTCCGAAATTTTCAATGAATAGATATAAGATTACTACACATTTTGCAATAGATGCCATGAAAACTTTTTCTTGTCGACTTGAAATTTCGTCTCTTTAGAAGGAATTTAGATAGCATAAAGTTATTGTATATCTGATTGCAAGATGGCTTAAACTTCCTAAATAGGAGATCTTTCTTCAGGAATTTGCTTAAGTAAAAAATCGTCAGAATATTTAATACTATTTAGATTGCGGATAATACTGTAATCATTGTAATCTCAAATATGGATGTGAATATTGTGATCCTTATAAAGATTAAAAAAATTGGGTTATCTCTCTGAGCCCACTTGCTTAAGAGGATGATGTAACTACTGTCTATTCTTAGCAATATGCTGAATTCAGCAAATGTTAAAGTAAAAATGCTTTTTAGAGATAAAATTTAGATTGTCATAATCAAGGATACTGTCAAGAATGCTCAAGCATCCTACCTTAATAATGTTAAAAATGTCCTTAGCTTGGATACACAAATTTTTATTTTCTTAATTAGAGCTGTGGTAACATATTCTTGACAATTATTCATTAACTTATTAGAATTGATTCAAAATTCAAATGCTAGTGTAGAGTAAAATTGCTTGCATTTTGACCCAAGAAATAATATGAATTGCTTAATTTGCAAAGATGGATTCTTTATCAAATAAAATATGTATTTCAGTGATTCATTAGGAACATACTATGATGGCTGCTAAAAATGTAAAATATCAAATAATTAAATAATAAGAATTCTTTAGATTAAGGACGAGGATCATGTATTGTCCCAATTAATGAATATGAATGTGAGATTTGCATTGACGGCTAGTCTTTGATTAGTGATAATCTCAAGCAATGTTAAGATTGCAACAGTAACTAATTTGTTAAAACCATTTCGAGATGTACTTTTAAAGAGGATGCATAACAAATTTATATACTCTCAACAGTCACTGCATGTAAATATGGGTTTGTAAAGGATAATGCTTGTGTTTCTAATTGTGGAAGAGGATATTATGGGAAATCCAGTTTTAATGAAAGAGGGTAGTTGGAGCAGTCCAAATGCTTAAAATGCTCTGAAAAATGCTTCGAATGCTTAGACTAAGACTAGTGCACTTCATGCAAGAAAGGTTACTATTTATAAACAGAACCAAAAACTACCTATGGCTAATGTTTAACAAAGATAGATGAAAAATTTGATACTAAAATCTATGTAAACTCTTACTCTTAAGGGAATTATCAAACAAATGAAGACTTTGGATCATATAATAATGCTGCAAAAGATCTTTAAGATGCCATATCAAGAGCATATGAACTAGGTGCTAAGTACCTTAGTGCAACTGTCCATATTATTTTGAAAGCAAATGAAAATTAACATCATGCTATGTTAAGATCTGCAAAGAATATCTATCTTCCAACGGTTTATGATTAATATCAGTAGACTACAAAAATTATTGTCGACACTGAGGATGAAAAACCTCAATTAGTTATTTTCAAGATGAGAGATAAATGGAATTTCAATGTAGGAGGAGGACTTTCAATAAGAAATATAATATTTGATGCCTCTGACTCATATTTAATTCCCGAGAAAGATTCAAATCATTGTCTTGAAAATGGCTTATTCAGCTGCTGTGGAAGTAAAGGTTGTTTTGGGATAGATTATAT